TCAAAACAGCTAACAATTAATGTCATCCTTAGTCAAAACTGAAATCAAACTAGCTTTAAAACTACAACACTCTGAATATATGTCAGCGTCTTAGCTCCCATACAATATTTAAAATATATTTAAACTTTCAAATACATTTATAAGGTACACTGATAATGAGAAAATAAAAGTCTTAAGATTTAAATACAAATCACCATATAAAACCTCCAGGGAACACAGAACGTCCTATTGTACAGAAGTGCAGGCTAGCCTGCCCCGCGGCGGGCTTGGACACACGACGGGCTGTGGACGCATTGGGACGCACGGCCTCGCACGAGACCCACCACCACGGCCCAAGAAAGAGGGGAAGAAGGGTGCTCGGCGGCCCCCGCTCCCCTCTCCACGCTACTCCGGCCTCAAACCCCGAAGCCACCTTGCTTTACTCTTGGGAACGACGCAAGCCAGTGCCGTGGAGGAAGCAAGCAGACTTGTCCCGGAGACCCCGCAAGGCGCGTCACTTGGTGTTCTGCTCCAAGGCGGAGTACTCTGTTTCTGACACCCTGGAAGCATCGATGAGCTTGGTGAGCCCTGTCTTGGCCGAGTACTTAAAGATGAAGGCCTTCATCAGCTCGTACCTGTAGTTACGACTGATGAAGCTGTAGAGCACGGGGTTGACACAGCAGTGCACCAGCGACAGGCACTGCGTGACGTGCAGAGCCGTGAAGATGAAGTTCTCCAGCTGGCAGGTGAAGGGGATGTAGTGGAGGATGGAGAAGATGTCCAGGAGCACCACCACATGGTAGGGGAGCCAGCACACAAGGAAGACCACCACATAGGAGAAGATGATTTTGCGACTGCTCTGCTTCTCCTGGTCGCCGGATGCGGCGATGGCTCGGGCCAGCAGGCAGTAAAAGACGGCGATGATGCAAAAGGGGATGGCGAAGCCCAAGACCACAGAGATCAGCTCCATGCTGATGAGCCACTCCTTGACGCTGTGCTCGGGGTAGAAGGAGCGGCAGTAGGTCTCGTTGTTGGACGCCGACGTGACAGTCTTCAGGTAGTAGGTGTCGGGCAGGGACACGCAGAAGGCCAGCAGCCACACCAGCGCGCAGACGACGCGGCGGACCACCTTCTTCCTGCGGCTCGAGGTGCCGGCGAAGTAGGCGATGGAGAAGTAGCGGTCCACGCTCATGCACGTGAGGAAGAAGATGCTGCCGAACAGGTTGATGGAGAAGATGAGGTGGGTGATCTTGCACGTGAGCTCTCCCATGGGCCACTGGTTATGCTGCATGAGGCTGACCACCCAGACGGGGATGGTGACCACCACCCACAGGTCGGCGATGGCCAGGTTGAGGATGTAGCAGTGCGTGTCGTAGCCGGTGGTCTTGGCCTGGATGTTCGCCCAGACCACCACGGAGTTGGCGATCATGCCGGTCACGAAGATGAAGATGTAAATGAAGGACAGCGTGTACAGGAGCACGCTCTTGTTGGGCATGTTGGGACACAGCACCGTGTCGACGACGAGGCAGTCGCTGCCGTTGCACGGCCAGCTGCTGTCGGAGAAGTTCCCTGGTTCCGAGTAGTCGAAGAGGTGCAGATCCATGGCGCTGCGGGCAGCGAGCTGACGGCCTGCGCAAAAATCAAACAGAAAGGATGCAATGGAAAAGTGGCTTCGTTAGGAAACACCGGAGTGCCGGTCAAGACGCTTTTCCGGCGCTCCGCACGCTCGGCGGTGTCTTCCCAAAGAAAGGAGAAAAGGAAAAGCGTAGCAGAGCTCCACACGACGACATCAAACGGGCCCGGCATCCAGGTTCGCATGGTGCCTAATCGAGAAACAGGGACTGCTGTGTTCTCCAGACATCACCAGCCTGGCTGTGCCCACAGTGTGAGAGCGGCATGGTCCGGGGGCCCGAGAAACGTCTGACAGCCACAGCGACGCTGACGGCTCGCTCAATCCTAGCAGAGGACAGTGGAGCCATTCTCCCCATGCCCCAAAGAACGGCAGAGTCCATCTGTTCCTGGCACTGCTGTATGATAAGTATCCTGCCCTGGTGTCCTAATGAGAGTGCTTGAGATCCCCTCCCACGTGTGCACCAAAAATGGGACTCAGTGCACTTCACCTTCCTGCCAAATGTGTGTGGAAACCTGGGTCCTGGGCCACCTTCAGTTCTCATTCATGAAGATCAGCGGTGTGTAACGCCCTGCAGCTTGATTGCACCCCAAACCTGCAGACCCTGGGTTTGTCGTGGGGTTTTCAACGAAGGGCAGCCACCCAGCTGTCTGGAGCTGTGGGCCACTGCCTAGGTTCCCCTTCTTACAACTTGTGCCAAGCACAAAAGTCACCACCTGCTGCACTTCTGGGGGAGGGGGAGGCGATCGTCTCAACTGTCTTTCCTGCTGACCTAACGTGAGGCCAACACTCTGAACTGTCACCAATATCCACAGAGAATTCAGCTCCAAAGTACCACTTGTGCCAAGAAATGATCATTTCTCCCCAAATGCCCCAGCTAGGAGAGCTGTCTTCTACTGGGGCCCCATCCACTCGAGGGCCCTGAAGTCCCTGCAGGACACGGCCCTGGGTCGGCAGCCCACTGGGTGACCCTGGGAACAAGGGCGCCCCGCTAGGAGTGATCTCACATGCAAAGGTGGTTTTCCTTCCTTCTCACGGGTCACAGGTAATGACTGATCCCAAGTCAAGCTTCTGTGCCAGGTTCATCCAAAGTGGACCCCAGGTCACATAGGAGGATGGGCAACCCTGGTCCACCTACGCTAACGGTATGAGGACACATAGCTGGGAAAAGCACCCATCCCGAGACCAGACCTTCCTGGGTGGGAATCCTGATTCCTTCCTCACTGCTGTTTAACTTGACTCGCTAACCTGTCTTCAGCTGTATTCTCAGGACACCAGCACCATCTTACAGAGGCACCCAAGAACCAAAGGGCCCAATCCAGAATCTAGCGCATAGCAGATGCTCTGTAAATCTCCACCCCCACCCTCCCGTCCCTTTGGCAAAAAGCACAGCCCCCCTTAATTCTTGCTCCACATTTGAAACGACCTCTTAACTGCCTAAGTAATACATGTCCCTGCCTGGAGGGAGATGCAGGGGAGAGCAGGGACGGGCAGTTTGATAGGTTTACCTTCAGAACAGAATCCCTGACGAGTGAGACATTCTGCTGCCTCCCAGAACCGGCTCCTTAGCCTCAAAACTCACAGCAGGTGACCTAATCCTAAATCTTAGTTAATGGAGACCACCTGCAGGCTTCTGGGCAGTTCTTCTCCACGTGTTTGAAGTGGCCATCAGTCCCTGTCCCGGTGACCTAAGCAGGTCCCCGTGTCCCCGCTGCTGAGGGGAGAAGCCCAGGCCTCCCAGCTGCAGGGCCCAGAGCCGGGAAGCCGGTGGTCCTCGGAGCACCCCACCAGGAGGATCCCCACGCCCTGTGACCACCAACTTGGGCCAGACCAGACAGACACACAAGCAGAGGAAGCACCCGGGGAGACTCAGCACGATCACGTTTAGGACAAAGAAACTCCTCACATTATGAGACTTTGGACCGCCCCGTCCTAAGAAGCAGCTTAAGGACCCCCAAAGGACGTGGGCACAAGGGGCAGCAGAGGACACTTGGAGGAGCCAGGGCTCCCTGACCCACTGGACTGGCCTCGAGGGTGGCGTGCTTTGAAGCTACGATTTCCACCTCCCCCTGGCCACTAACCTGCCCGGGGCTGACCCTCCCCTTCCCATCCCTCGAAGCCCCCAATTCCAGAAGAGAACAACGCAGGGATTTCATGGTTCTAATGTGGTGACCCCTTTTTTCCTCCCATTTCCTTAAAATGAAGCACACCTGCAGCATGGCCTAGTTTATGAAGTGCTTTCGCCTCATGACCTCATCTGATCCCGGAGTCCCTGCAGAGCGGAGGAGCTGGAGGGCAGTCCGCAGCCCCACAGCTGGGCAGAGGTGGGCCTGGGCCAGGCGGGGCTCCCTCCTCAGTCCACACCGGTGCAGCCCTGCAAGGCCTCGGCACACACAGCCACAGAGCCCAGGGTCCGGGCCGTCCACGGGACCGTCCACGGGACCGTCCACGGGACCGTCCACAGGCCAAAAAGGAAGGAATGAGCCCCAGCCCTGGTTAGCCTGACTGGGTCTAAGCACCCCCAGCTCTTTGCTCACCACAAGGAGTCAGTGAGCGAGCTCGGGCCTCCAGTACGATTCAGCGGACAGGCGCCGGGCACTGCTCAGTGTGGACAGCCAGACCCATGCAGGCATGGGGGTCTATGAGAAGTCACCTGCCTCTCACACCCTGCCCTTTTGGAAATTACCAGGTCAAGGTGTCCGGATCCACCCTCTGGGGCTGCCAACCGTCGCTAATCCCAGAGCTCCAGCCATGGTGGGGGAGGGCTCGGGCCCCATCTGTGGTTTTCACCTCTGCCCTCTGGGCAATGAGCACCTGATTTAGCGATCACCGGTCCTCTGAGCCAGAAGCGTTACCTGCTCGCGGGGCACGGCTCCCCTCAGCTGTCCTCTCCCTTGCCTTCGGGGGGCACGGTGAGACTCTTCCAGCCAGGGCTGAAGGGGAGAACGGAGGCTTTGAGGCTCCTAGCTCGAGTGTGAAAGCCAGCTGGCCCCCCGTCACTGATCTCCCACCACCCATCAGCCCAGGAGCTGAAGCCCGAGGTCCGTGCCCTGACCATCCCCTCCCCCAGGGGGACCCCCTGGGACCCCCTCCCAGGGCGGACGGCCTTAGTGATCAAGAGGAGGAAGGAGGCACAGAGAGGAAATGAAACAAATTGTAGTCCTCAAACCCCCTGCAAATCCAAACGGGGGACTAAGGAAGGAACTACGACTCACAACAGCTCAGCCCTGTCCTTTCGGTATTTTATATGCGTTTGGTTTTGGAAACAATCCAGGGCCACTTCCAGAAAAGAATATGATTTGACAAAGACAATCTGCACCGTACGTCCCATGTGGTCTGCAGCAAAGGCCCGTCTGCCCGAGCGAGTGTCCAGGAGGGCTGGGGCAGGGACGTCCACTCGATGCCTTCCCAGCGACGGTGTGTGGCCACCACGGGAGAGAGGAATCTTCCTCAAGTGACACCCTCAGAGTCACCAATATGGCGAACTATGGAGTGTCTACCCAGGCCCCTGGATTCCAAAGGCCTGGCGACAAAGCTCCTAGCAGGCCATAGGAAACCTCCCTTCCTGTCCCGGTGGAGGGAGGGGGCCGCCTAATGGACCACAGGGGCCACTTTAACTCCCTGAGTGTCCCGCACCAGAATCCCAGCTGCCTTCCTGCAAGAGCAGATCGCCTCAGCGGGTACACAGAGAGCCGACAGCATTCTGCGTCCTTCGGGAAGGATCCGCGCTCCTGTCTAAGCGGTCAGGCCTCTGGGCCAGTGTGCTGGTCTGTGCCTGCCGGGAAGCAGCAGTGGTCTGACCCGGACCTGCAGGAGACCACTCTTCCCACTGGGACCAGCCACTCTCTGCTGGGATAAACCGGCAACTCCATTGCTGCCAGCCCGGGGCCAGAGCTTGGGAAAAACTTCCAGAGTCACACCTGAACACTGCCTGCCTCCCTGAGGGCTCGGAGCCTCCCCCAGGGCAGGTGGGAGGATGAGACCCCCTCACAACCAAGTGGTAAGGCAACTGCGTAAAGGGTCCTGACAAAAGGAAAAAAAAAAAAAAACAGGGCTTTGAATTTTCTACAGCTTTTTGATTTTACAAGTTCACACATTTTTCCTCTCGAAAGACTCACGTGTCCCCAACTGTACATGCATGTACTAAAGCACTCTTCATTAGCAAAAAACTGGAGACAACGTAGATGTCCATCGGGAGAGGAATGGTTTGATAAAGTAGCGCGTATCCACCGCCTGAAATACAATAGAGCTGCGAGAAGACAGAGGGGGTCTGCTTTTGTGAAGCACGAAAGTTGCAGCACACCTGAATACACGGACGTAAAAACCAGAGCAAAAAGTGCGCACAGCTTTATGTGTAAACACACGCGCACGAAGGCAGAGAAAAAAGACCAGCGGGAAGGACAAAAGCTTTGGGCGGCCAGGGTAGGGTGGGGGCACAAAGGGGGCTTTGTAGATTTTACTCCGTAAACTTCTGTACAATTTGAAATTTGACATCAAGAATTAGGTAGATTCTAGGAATGAAGCGGGGGAATTCGGAGGGGTGGACGAACCATGAGAGACGATGGACTCTGAAAAACAAACTGAGGGTTCTAGAGGGGAGGGGGGTGGGAGGATGGGTTGGCCTG